ACAGAAAGTTAAAGCAGAAAAGAATTTCCTGAGTCGCTTCATCCTGCTCTTTATTCCTTGCTCGGTTTGAGAAGAGAAAGGGGCTCCAGGCAGCGGCCTTTCTCTAGGGCAGTGGTTCTCAGCCTTCCTAATGCCGTGGCCCTTTAATACAGTTTCTGTGGGTCGAGACCCACAGGTTGAGAACTGCTGCTCTAGGGCATCTTGCTCCCCTCTCCCCCTCCCACACCTGTACACAGTCACCTTCACCGGGCTGTGGTGCCAGTCACTGGCCTCCAAGGCCACACAGCTGGCTTTCTTCCTGCTTCTGAATGTCAGCTTCCCTCACAGTCACCTCTCGGTGGCTGTGCTTTCTCAGGTCTTTTCAGGGTTCCTTAGTGTGTGCAGGGCCTTGGAGATGCACAGGAGATGCCCACTGTCACCTGCCACCTGACTTGCCTCAGTCTCAGAAGGTGTTTCGGTTGGAGAAGAGGCAGAAAAGAGATAGCACTTCATTCCCAGGCTCTCTGGTCCCCTTCTACCCCTTAGAACTGAAGACTAGAGTTTACATATGAGATTCTTCCACTGATCTCCTCAACTTTCCCCCTCCCTCACTCAGGGAGTGCTCCCCTCCTGGATTTTGACCAAAGAGGACAAGTGTCAGGAATAGGCAGTCCAGCTCCTATGTGGCTTAAAGGCAGTTCCCATATGGGAGTTATATGAGTATGACAGGGGAGGGGTCTGTCTCCAGGCAGGGAGGTGTGGGAGTGAGCTCTCACCCCAGTTAGACCCCTGTTGGGTTTCATAGGAGCTGGCCGCCGAATGTAAGAGTGCAGGCTACCCCGGGACTTTGATCCCCTACAGATGTGACCTGACAAATGAGGAGGACATCCTTTCCATGTTCTCGGCTATCCGTTCTCAGCACAGCGGTGTGGACATCTGCATCAACAATGCCGGCCTGGCCCGGCCGGACAGCCTGCTCTCAGGCAGCACCAGTGGTTGGAAAGCCATGTTTGATGTAAGAACTCCAGGCCTGGTGTTGGGGGTTGGGAGGAGAGTGGGGAGCCAAAGTCTGAGAGCCAGAGGGCTGCTGGGGATAGGACCTGTAGGAAGAGGGAGCTTGGAGTTCCCACCTGGGGCATCTTGACTCTCCCGTGGCTTCTCTCTCTGCCAGAGGCATAGAAACTGGATGAATGGCCATATTTTTTCACCTCTTCTTTGCTTTGAGGCCCTGGGGGGAGCTCTTAAAATTTAGACTGATTTCCTCATGTTAGAAGAGATACTGGTAGGGGAGGATCCTGCAGCTCATGAATCCTCCCATGTATCAGCACTGTGCTGGGTGCTTGGAAACACAGTCTGATGGGAAGGAAATAACAGAGACAAGAGGTAATGTTCTCAGCCCCATCAGTAACTATGACTTCAGGCAGCTTAGTTACCTTCTTTGAGCTTTAGTCATGTCATATTTAATTGGGATAAACATGCCTATATCATCAATATTGGGGGGCAGCAGGGGGGCAAGTGTCACAGACTCCAGTGTTCTCTGGGACCAGGCAGGAACATAAGCAGTGTGTGAGACAGCACATGCCACATGAAAGGGCAGCCACTGCCCAAGCACAGCATGCCTGCTAGATTGCAGTGTGGGGCCAGTGTGGCCGAGTCTCAGGATTTCTTTGAGAGAAGTGGGAAATCTGTATTTTTATCCGATACCCCACCTGTCCCATTCACTAAAATGTCAGCTCCACAAGGGCAGGAATTATTTGTTTTGTTCTCTGGGATAGCTCCAGCCCATAAACACTCCACAGATATTTATTGAATGAAACTTTCCAATATATGTTAGAAAGGTATTTAAAATGTTTTAAGACCCCATAGGGGCCAAACACAGCTTTCAGGACACTAGTTTCCATCTTCTGGGCTATGTTGTGGGGAGACAGTAGGGTATGTAAGTATTCTACAAGGTTGAAAGCAGCGGGCCAATGGGATGCTTCTTTTCTCCTCCACAATCCTTTAACATCTGCTGACAACAGATTTACACGTAATAGTGCTTTAGGCCTTCGAGTAAAGCAATGAACAACAAAAATGAAGCCCTACTCTCAGACAACCTTCTGGAAAATCAAAGTCACAGTCCTCACCTCCAGAAAGTGGATCTCTAAATCTGGACCTTAACTTGCCCATCTGTAAAATGAGAGACTTACGTTAAATCCCCAAGGCCCCATTCAGCTTGAACATTACCTAAGCCTATTAGGATGGTTCTACGGGGCATCTTCTCCCCTGTATATCTGGGTGATTTACTCACCTGGTCCCAGGGAAATCAATTTCTCCTCCAACATCTGCCCTTGGGAGCTTTGTTCTCTGCCCCACAAGTCAACATTGCTAAGAGGACGAGAAATAGGGCTAAAAACCTCCTGTGTCCTGGTACTCACCTCTTCCTTTTGCCATGAATGTTGAGGCAGCCTCACACCAAGGGTGTTCTGTTCCTCCTGCCTGTCTCTGACACCTGATAAAGAGAAACATCTAATCTCCCAGCTGGCTCTGTCTCTTCCTAAGAGGAGACATGTGAAGACCTGCTGAAAGCTTTATCTCTGCTTGTCCTCATGGGTGAGGCTGAAGGATGGGCCTGGGCAGGCCCTTTATAACATACACTTCTTCAGGCCTTTATCCCACTCAGGTTAGGAATTTGGGGTCACCCGTACCAGAGGGAGTGGGAGCGACACGTTGACTCAACCTTTAGAGTGTGTGTGCCTGGTGTCATTGATGGAACACAGGTTAAAGGAAGGCATAAAAGGAAGAAGGTCAGGCCTTCTCTGCCCATAGTCTTAAGGGAGAGGAGGGCAAAGGAGGCTACTCAGCTCCTTTGCTCTCCTGGGGTCTGTGCTGAGGAGAGAGATTTTTAAGCCATTTTAGGAAGGATTTTAGGCTGTTTAGGAAGAAGCAGGGCCAGGGATGCTGTCCCAGGGAAAAGAAGGGTGGGGTATTGAGGGCAAGAAATGGAGGGGATTCCCTAAAGAATCAGAGGTTCTACTGTTTGTAGAGGAGATGGCCAAGACAGAGTCTTCTGGGTCAGGGGTGGGTTTGAGGGGTTTCTATTCCTGTTAGCAAGAACTTAGGGGTCATCCAGGAGAGGACCTGCCTCTGCTGTCAACTAGGGGGTGGCATCTTTAGGGAAAGGGGCACCTAGGGTAAAAGGCAAGATGCCCCGGGCCTGCCATAGGTCTCTGGGAGGACTTGGATGCTGTTTTGGAATGCCACACCATTGCCTCCACTCTGGTGTTCTGTGGCTCCATCACCTCCTCGGTTGGGCCTGAGCAGAGACACCCCATTGCCCTCCCTGGCCTGCAGGTGAACGTGCTGGCCCTCAGCATCTGCACACGGGAAGCCTACCAGTCCATGAAGGAGCGGAACGTGGATGATGGGCACATCATTAACATCAATAGGTGAGGGCAAGTGGCCAAAGGGTAGAGCTCAGGTCACCACTCTCCCTCCATGCCAGGTAATCTGCTACAGCTCATTTGACCTCTTTGGACCTTGGTTTCCTTGGTGGTACAATAGGGATTTAATACCCAAATGGAACAAGTGTGGTGAGAGATACAATAATATTGCCAAGTACCAGCACCTGCTGGGCTGGAATGGGCAACTCAGCTGAAGTGTGGGACCCCTCCTAGGACTAATTGCCTGTGTTCCTCAGGCCCTGAGATGAACCCCACCCCAAGGCACAAAAAAGAATGCACAGTGTCTGCCAAAAGGGAGCCCAGCCTGCCTCCGGAGATTCCCAATAGAAACATATCCACAAACATACAGATGAAATTGAGCAATTTTTGACTTCCTACATGATCAGGAGCATAGGGATGACTTCTAGGAAGAGGAGGGTTTTCAGGAGCTGTTGGGAAAACAGAAGCTAGATGAGTGGGCTGTGGGGTGGCCACTAGAGGCCCCCTTTAGAAGGCTTCCCTGTCTGCAATCTGGGTGGTGGGGTTGACTAGGGGACACTGCCAGTCTCGGTGGAGCTTCATTCTCTCTTCTTTCCCCTTCCCTCTACCTAGTATGTCTGGCCACCGAGTGACACCCCAGTCTGTGGTCCATTTCTATAGTGCGACCAAGTACGCCGTCACTGCATTGACAGAGGGACTGAGGCAAGAGCTTCGGGAGGCCCAGACCCATATCCGAGCCACGGTGAGGGTGTGGCCCAGCCATGGTGGGGATGGGGTGGGCACAGGCCCTCCCTGCCCACACATACTGCCCAGGAAGCCCATGTTGTGTAGGATGAACTGGGTAGATCTCCTGGGTTCTGCTGCTCTTTGCATGGCCCCCATGCTCCATCCTTGAGTGTCCTCATTTCACTGATCCAGAAGCTAATGGCACACTTAGATTTTGAGGTGGGAGGGTGCTGACCTGAGGGGCACATGGTAGGGTGAGACTAGGGGAAAGCAAAGGATTATGGGAAACCAGATGCACAATGGCTGAAAATTGAGACTCTGGGTTCTTAAAAGGACACGTGACCTTGGCCAAATCACTGAAGCCTCAAGTCTTCTTGTTGTAAAATGGACATGATACCTACCTGGGTATCATGTTTCAAGGGACACCGTTTTGTGGAACATTAACCTGACATACAGGAAAGGCTCTGTGGAGGGTAGATATCATTGTGACAATAGGAGGAGGCAGCTGCTGGACACTGGGCAACCATCACTGTGAAGCCTCTCTATTCTTCCAACCTCCCCAGGGCCTAGCAAAGCTCAGTTCCTTAGCAGGCCCTCTCTGTTGCACCAGTGCATCTCTCCAGGTCTGGTGGAGACACAATTCGCCTTCAAACTCCATGACAAGGACCCTGAGCGGGCAGCTGCCACCTACGAGCACATAAAGGTAGGACCTCCCTCGGGTCCTGGTGAAGCCACTGACTCCCTAAGTGAAGGCAGAGGGAACCCTGGCCTTCAGACTTCACCTTTCTAGACACCTTCTCTCCCCTCCTAGGGGGTTGGGGTAGGAATGTGGGTGTTGGAGAGGACCTCAACAATGGGAGGGAACTTGAGTCTATTCTGTCCTTGTCTCAACCCATTCCCTGGGGCTCTCAGTGTCTCAAACCTGAGGATGTGGCCGAGGCAGTCATCTATGTCCTCAGCAGCCCTCCACACGTCCAGGTGAGTCTGGCCTTGACTCTCCACCCCCTGAAGGAACCCAACCATCCCCAGAGGAGGGGGCCTTAAGGGGAAGGGAGAGTGTCCTGGCTGCCTGAAGCCTTGTGCCTTCTGCAGATTGGAGACATCCAGATGAGGCCCACGGAGCAGGTGACCTAGTGCACTGAGGGGGAGCTCCTCCTTCCTTCCCCACCCCTCACGGCTTGGCTCCTGCCTCTGGATTTAGGTGTTGATTTCTGCACCCCTGGATGCCAGTTACTGTCCCTACCCCCACCAAAGGCTAGAAAATTTGTTTGAGATTTTTACATAATCTTGTCAATTGTTTCCATGACAAATGTGAAAAATGGGCTGGGGAAAGGACATGGTGTCACTGATTATTTTACTTAACTGGTTCTTAATCCCCTTCCTGGGCTTCTCAGCCTTTGTCTGCTCTCCTTAGTCTCATCCCTTTGAGAGGAACTGAAAGGGGCGATGGTTAAAAGGAGGGCTTTTCCTGCAGCCTAACCAACTCCTCTGCTCAGTGTTGGGGTGTTATAGAGGCCCTCACCTTGTGGTCCTGAATGTCTGAATGGTGATCCAGGGCTCCAGGCTCCCTGCTCTCCCTGCCCCACTGCCCCTCCTCACCCTCTCTTCCTCCTCTGAGCTCTCCAGTCAGATCTTGGTTTCTTGGCCCTGTGGGGTCATCACTCCACTCTGGCAGCAGAGTATCAGAGCCTGGCACCCAGTGGAATTAACGGTAATAATTAAAAAAGAAAAATCACAACCAACCTACCTTGGCTTCAGGAGTGTCTTTCAATTCTTGCCTCTACTCTGTGATCAGGGAAGGTTGTGTCTCAGAATTTCTTCCGGGTGAGACAGACGGTGAGTGGATTTGGGGCATCACTTACTGAGTGTGGCCTACTTTACATAGCAAGAGTGGTTTTGTATTGGGCCTTGAAAATGGGTAGGAGTTTTCCAAAGAAGACAAAAGGGGTGTGCAAGACTGGGGGGCCCAGAAGAGTATGCAGTGGTTGTGTGAACAGCACAGAACTTAAGTGCAGGAGCAAGATAGGGCTAAAAAGCATCACTACTCCAGGCCAGAAGGGCTGGGTTGTGGAGGGAGTGGGCTGAGCAGTTTGGTAGCCGAGGCCCAAGACATTCCAGTTCTGTGGCCCAGATAATAGAAACTGAACGCCCTGTGCAGCTACCACATCCACCAGAGTGTCTGCTTGGAGGTGAGCACTCCTGCAGTGCTGAGCAGAGGAGTCTGGCTGTTTATTTCCTGTGGGACGGGGGCATCAGTTGGCTTGTCGGCAGGGACATGAGAAGCTCAGAGCTGTTTCTTGGAAAAGAATCAGCAGCCACGGGATAGGAAGTTACTGTTGAGGTCCTGCCAGGCTGGTGATGAGAGTCTGACAAGGAGAAGCTTCTGGGGAAGATCACCAGCGCCTGGGTGTGAGGAGGGAGGCAACCGAAGGGAGACTGAATTGGTTGAACCAGAAGGCCAACCCTTTGCTGGTGCGTGGGTGAATAAGGTCCCCAACCACCTGGGACCTTGAAGGGCACAGGATGCTGCCTGTAGTAGGGTCAGCTCAGCTCCAAGCTTGGCCTTCCGGCCCGGCCTGGTGCTGTGACAGTCAACGCTCAGCCAGTCCTACAGGAGGCGCTGTGGAGACAATCTGACGGCCGGGCATGCGCGGTACATCGCCCGGCCCGAGACTCGGCTGCCTGAACGCGGAAGCAGAGAATCCCATGTGGGCTCTGGTAGCAGGGCTGTACAGTTTGGGGCAGTCTCCCAGTTGATAGTCGGGGCTGTTCGTTCCCGTTTAGGGGGCTGAGTGAGGACAACCGTCAGGTCCCCTTCTCCCCTCCGTTGGGGTCCTGGGAGTAGAGGGAATTGAGTCACCAGCCAGGCGTGTGTCATGGGACTACTCTCCACTTTCAGAGGAGCGACCCGGCGTTGCTCCGGTCACTTCCTCACCAGTCATTTCTCCCAAGCAGCACGGCGTGGGGAGCGGCCTGGCGGGGAGGAGCTAAGCCGCCTGCTGCTGGATGACCTGGCGCCGACGCAGCGGCTGGAGCTTCTGTTTGGTCTGTCCCCATGTCTGTTGGCTCTGCAGGCCGCCCGCCGCCGCGTGTCCAGACTCCTGCTCCAGGCCGGCAAGGCCGGGCTGCAGGGGGAGCGGGCTGACCTGCTCCGGGCGGCCGAGGCGCAGGGCATTCCGGTTCTGCGGCCCAGACGGCAGAAACTGGACGCTCTTTGTAGTTACCAGGTCCACCAGGGCGTCTGCTTGGAGGTGAGCCCACTGCGGCCTCGGCCCTGGACTGAGGACGGGGAGGCCAACCCAGGCGACGACCCCCTGCAGCTGTGGCTCGTCCTCGAGTCGCTCCAGGATCCTCGGAATCTTGGGGCTGTGCTACGCTCCGCTCACTTCCTTGGAGTGGATAAGGTCATCACTAGCCGGAGAAACAGGCACGGATGTCCCTTTTTCTCCATGTGTCCCAACTTGGAGGCGCAGCCGAGTTCCTAAGCACCTTGACCCTTGGGTGATCTCTCAGCTGGGCTTCCCTGTCGCCAGGATTCTGACCCCATATCCCTTGGGAACTTGGGGAGTGGAGGGCACCGGGCTTGAGATTGCCTAAACTAATGCGGGGGATGGGGAAACTTTGCAGCTGCCCGCTCACTCCAGTAGTCAGCAAGGCCAGCGCAGGGGCTATGGAGGTGATGGACGTGTTCTCCACTGATGACCTGACCGGTTTTTTACAGGTAATGAGGGGCGGGAGGGGAGGGAGCAGAAAGAGCTTTGCCCATTCTTGCTCATTCTTCAGCCTCTTCAAGGGATCTCAGCCAGCGTTGATGGGAGGAGAAAAGGGGACTTGTTGGCATCATCGCCTCTGGAGAGGGGAGGGCCCCGGAGTTCTTAAAGCCACAAATAGGACACTATCTGAAGTTACAGACTTCCTAACCTCATTCCTTGTATCGCACTCCTTTCCCAGGCACACACACCTCTTTCCCCTTCTGGGTAAGCCTACCTACCCCAGTGTCTCATTGCTTACTCAGTAGGTTTTCAGTAAATGCTTGTTGTTTAGCAGTGAAGAGCTGGTGGACTGGAGGCCTGGGTGCCTCGAATTGGGGCACAGATTGAAAGAATCTTTAAACAAGGAGACATGTATGCCATTGATATCTAGGAAGGGAGCAAACCTTAGGAAGCCCCTGTCCGGATGCTGGTCTGTCCTCAGCTGTGCTTCTCTTGCTGGACACAAGGGGTCAGTATTGCCCTGCATTTGGTAGACCTCTGCCCATCCTCCCTCCCCCTACTCTGTATGGTGAGAAATTGCCTCTCTTAAGAAGGGGGAAGACCTCTGAAATGTGCCTAGAACATTGTTGCCCAATAAAAGTGTAATGTGAGCCACATATGTAATTTTAGTTTTTCTAGTAGCCACGTTGAAAAATAAAAAGAAATAAGTGAAATTAATTTTAATAAATTTCACCTAGTATATCCAAAATACCAATTCAATATAATCTTTTGTGGGTTTTTTTTTTTTTTTTT